CTTCCTTCCTTCTTTCCCCTTTCCTTCCTTTCCTCTCCCCACCCTCCCCTCCCCTCCTGTTTTCTTTTCTTTTCTTTTCTTTTCTTTTCTTTTCTTTTCTTTTCTTCTCTTTTTTTTTCTTTTCTTTTCTTTTCTTTCTGGAGATAATAATACTATATACACAGACTTCACCTTTACTGCTTCCAGACTTGTGTAAGTGATGTAGTATCTCTCTAATAAATGCCAAAGGGACAAGATCAGCCTAAGATTCTTGTAACAAAAACTACTTATATAATCTTAAGAACTAAACAGTCCAAAGGCCTGCTTTGCTAGCAGGGGTAGGAAAATATTATTTACTGACATGAAACTTTATAATAAAGCAATCAGTCTTGCTTCATAAAAGCAATGTGAAACTAGAAGGGGTTCCATAGAGAGTCATTACTTGAATATTTAGTGATCATCTACTTTGGGGGTCATCTTCATAAATCAGCTATTCGTTACCAGTTCATTGCTCATAGACAATTTGACCAAGCTACAAAAACTAGCATCAATTTAATTTCCAGGGGCAAAAATATACATATTGAGCCATTAAAGTAGATCTTCCTGACACTGATATCCTGATGTCATGCTGCATTTATTCTATATTATGTAATTTTGGCTGGGATCTCCATAAATTTTTGGCTTTAGTTTATTTGGCATTCTGTAATTGACTTAAGGAGTCAATCTCAAAGAATCTTCAGCATTGTACAACATGTGACTTATTTACAGTTGTATTCTGTAAAGATGATTTAAGAAATTACCTAAGAGTCAGACATTCTTCTAAATTGTTGATACCCTTCAATAATTATTAGAATGTTTTTCCTTCAGGGGCACCTGGGTGGCTCTGTTGGTTAAGTGTCCGACTTCGGCTCAGGTCGTGATCTCACGGTCCATGGGTTCGAGCCCCGTATCAGGCTCTGTGCTGACAGCTCAGAGCCTGGGGCCTGCTTCGGATACTGTCTCTCTCTCTCTCTCTCTCTCTCTCTCTCTCTCTGTTTCTCCCCCACTCACATTCTGTCTCTCTCTCTCTCAAAAATAAATAAACATTAAAAAAAAATTTAGAATGTTTTTCCTTCAGCCACTCACTGTTCCCCGATATAGTAACATGCATTTATAATCTAAATAGTATTGTGAATAGTAATATAAAACCATTTAAAGGGGATAAATTTGGCAGGGCCAAGTGGCAGGTGATGGTTTAGTGAAAGGTTAATTGGTGAGCAATTCTGCTGGTTACAGGTTACCTGTCCACTCACAGATGAGATGCTTGGAAAGAAGAAAAGTAGACCCAGTGGCCTTTATAAGGAGAGGCTGTGTCCATTTGGGGACTAAGAAACCTGTGAAAAAATCAGCCAAGTTAGTTATTCGGTATTATGTGGTCAAAATGAAACATTCTTTGCATAAAATTGTGTTTATTGGTTAATGTAAACCAGTTTTAGTCAATAAGACTTAGGTCTGTCACATGTAAAAGACTTTGTTTTCTTCCACAAATTAGTCATCAAAACGAATTCTGCTTCATTAAGTTAAATACCAAATATGTACATCTAGGGTTAATAAATGGCTTTGAAAAACAACAGCAGGGAATTGGTGCCAAGAGTATGAAAATCTTATGAAATTACCTGGGAATTTTTCCAGAAACCTTTTGGGTCACAGGAATTATAGACTACCTTTTCATAGAAATAACAGAAATGTTAGATGTGCTTACTTATAACTGCCAGCTAAACAATAAACAGTGCTTAGTTTTCAAAAACTGTTGACATTTGTCTCACCAGAAAACAAGTGCTCTAAATAACAGATATTAAACTGAGGTAAATGTCCTGTGACTAACATAGATTGTTTACATAAACAGAAATAGAGGGATTTTCGTAATGCAAAATATGCACATATACACACACATATGTAACCCTGTCATTTTTAGACAGTGACCTCTTGCTTGAATTGATTTCAATAAAGGATAGGAAAAGCTTAAACAAAATTAATTAAATGCAGGCAAGCGTAGGCATGAATGTGGCAATTAATTTGATTTCTGCAAGTAGGTTGTTAATAAATGGAGATAGGAAAAGCAAGTTATGGCTGTAAATTTCAAATTCCTTCAACAATAAAGATGTGTCATATACATGACACATACTGATGTATGGAGATAAATTGCCTGTCACTTAGTGTGGAAGATACCGCTTAAGTTGTACATTAGATGCATATTAAGCTGTGTAGGAGCCCACATTTAGTCTGTCTGTTTCCTGTAGGTAATGTAGCTCATTCATAATGTCATTTTCTTGGATGTGCCAAAGTGGCTAAATGAGCATCGAAGTTATTTATACATTAGCATGGTATGTAGAACATCACTATTTTCTGCTTTGCAGAGGGGCATAGGCAAAGTTGACAGGGCTGAATTTATGCAGGCTCCAAAATGAGACTCAAACCCTAATTAGCATTTCTTCCTAAATCTGGAATTGGGTGGGGAAAGTAAATTACATATCTGAGGTGAAGTCTTTGTCTTTTTCTGACAGCCTACTTCTACAAATTGGATGGGCCAGCCTGACAAACATGGAATGCTTCAAAGTTTCCTCTTGTAACAGGAATCCTACAATCTTTTGTAACATACACTCTCTGATAATTAACATGGGATTTCTAGACAGTTAATCATTTTCGATGAATCCCCCACTTCTAAAATGGATGTGATGCAGCTTATTTATGGTAGGAAGAATTTTAATTGCACATGAAACCCCTCTTTAGCATACAACTACCGATTCACTCACATGTTATCTAAAGTTTCACAAGGCACGGTGCAGAGCAAGTGCCTCATCTGATAAGGACATAGTAAGTATGTAATTGAAATTGGTCTTTCAGGCAAGCCGTGATTTGTTCTTCCTTTAGGCCCTCAGCATGAGCTACCTTTCATTGTTATAATCTCTCTGCACCATCTGGACCTCTATAAAGATGTTGGTCTCAGCGGTGAAATGAAAGACAAGGAGGATACTAAATAAAACTTACATAGTGAGAGAAAATTGTTATTGTTGATGCTAATCATAAGTATATCTTTTGAGCTTTTCACCTAAGGATATTAAAAGATTCTCTCAGCACTAATCTTGGTCGCAAAGTTTTAGGATTGATGGCCATATTGCTATATAAGGAGGTTAAATATTTGACAAATAGCAGATGAGATGGAGATATGATTTTTTTATTCATTCATTTAACAAACATTGGTATATACTGTGTAGAGATGATGGTCTAAGTAGTCTGACAATGTAATCTATCATTCAATCTGAAACCCCAGTAAGAGTTAAGGGGGAGCTACTCATAGTTTTACTAGGATAAGAGACGTATAAACTAGGACCATCCTAGACAAGCCAGGAAGTAGTGCCATCTTATTTCTTGACAATGAAAACATGCTACTAGGTCTTAAAGCTTATAACAGCTCAAATGTGCATTCTCTGTCTTTGCTCAAGTGTCAATGTCAAGTTGAAATCCTCAGCCTTGCTATATAGCCCTAACTAAAATGGCAGCAGCCCCCAGTATTCCTTAATTCTTGCCCCCAGGCTTATTTTTCTCCAAGGTTATTTATCATCTTCCAATATACTATATAATCTATTTATTTTATTTCTTCCCTATCGCTCTTCATTAGAACATAAGCTCAGTAATGGCAGGGATTTTTGTATGATTTCTTCATTGCTCTATTCCCAGCATACATGGTAATATCTGGCACATATTAACTGCTAAATAAATGCCCCTGAATGGATGTATTTCTCCATTTTAGAAGATCAATTTTGTGTTTGGCATAGTGATACATTTTAGAGGCATAAAAGTCTCTCTGTGCCTTTATGAATCTCCCAAAGTAGTTGGAAGAAATAACTATTCTTACAAGTGAAATAAACAATGAGATGTTTCATGATGTCTATAAGGGTTTTGTAAGATTAGTATTTTAGGGGATTACATAATTCAAATGTTACCAAAAATATTGAGTAACTAAAGAACCGATAGTCTAATCTTTCATGATACATGATACTTTCATTTTCCTCTTCATCCTGTTTTAATAATGTTTTTTTAAGCAGGCCCCACACCCAACACGGGCTTGAACTCATGACTCTGAGGTCAAACGTTACGTACTCTATTGACTGAGCCAGCCAGGCACCCCTGTCTTAATAAGTTTTAAAGTCACATCACCTTGCATGTAGTAACAAATGAATCATTTGATAAAAATCAGGTATCAAATGGGTTAATAAGAAGTCTTAATTTTATCTTGAATCAGATTGAAAATATAGCTTTAGAAATTGGAGCATGGCTGCTTAGAAACAATTGCAACAGAAGCATAGTACTAATATTTATTTTCAGTTTTAACATAAGACTCTAAATAAAATAGTCTAAAGGAATGAACTTTTGATGAACCTTTAAAAATTGAGAATTCTCAACTTTCATTCTCTAAGATGGGGAAGAGGCATCCCTGAACTTGTAGTCCAGAAAACTAGGCCCTTGTTTCTAGAGTTCTGTCTGAAGTAGCTCTGTGACCTTGGGCAGCAGGACACCTCCTAAGTTTCTTACATCATTTTTTGACTTATGGGATCATACGTTCTTTAAGGTTCCTGTATTAGTTTCCTAAAGCTGCAGTATTAAAGTACCAAAAACTGAGTGCCTAAAACAATAGAGATTTATTGTCTCACAGTTCTGGAGGCTTGAACTCTGAAATCTAGGTATCAGCATGGCCATGTTGTCCCTGACAGTTTTAGGGAGAATCGTTCTCTGCCTCTTCCAGCTTCTGGTATTTTCTGCTAACCCTTGGTGTTCCCTGGCTTGTGGATGCATCACTGCAGTCACATGGCTGTCTCCCTGTGTGTTACTGCATTGTCTTCCCTCTGCGCATGTCCTGAGTCTATGTCCTAATTCCCCTTTTTTAGAAGTCATACCGGACTAGAGCTTAGCCAGTGATCTAATGTTGTTAACATGATTACCTGTACAAGAACGTTACTTCCACATAAGGCCACATTCTGAAGTATTGAAGATTTGGGCCACAACATACTTTTTGGGGGGCAGGGTACAGTTTAACTCATAACAATTAGTTTAGGTTCTACATGACTATAGCTCTAGGTAATATCAAGGAGAATAATGGTAAATTAAAAAAAATATTGCTTTGATATACTCTCAAATAATTTTTAAAACCATACTTATCTGTTCCTTTACCATTATCTAAATATAAAGATCTCATGGATCATTATGGAAGATGCAATGATTTTCATGATTTATATTTATATTTTTAAAATTCTTTATAACAGTTTTCAGATTAATGTGTAAACTAACATCATTGTAAACAAACATGATTTAGAAGACTAAAGATGGAGGGGCGCCTGGGTGGCGCAGTCGGTTAGGCGTCCGACTTCAGCCAGGTCACGATCTCGCGGTCCGTGAGTTCGAGCCCCGCGTCAGGCTCTGGGCTGATGGCTCAGAGCCTGGAGCCTGTTTCCGATTCTGTGTCTCCCTCTCTCTCTGCCCCTCCCCCGTTCATGCTCTGTCTCTCTCTGTCCCAAAAATAAATTAAAAACGTTGAAAAATAAATAAATAAATAAAACGTTAAAAAAAGAAGACTGAAGATGGATTACAGGATTTATATTGAACTTGGCAGTTTGGTAGTAGACAACAAAACTATAAAATTTAAGCAGCTTTTTTTTCAGCCATTTATTCCCCGCCACTTCATAAGAACAAGCTAGATGGGGATAATTTTTAGCTGTGTTTCACTCAGACAGAAATCTCAAGAGGCCAGTAATACAGAATATTGAAGGATTGGTAACATAATAGAATTCCAAATTAGTAACCAAAGTAAAGAAATCAACTCAGTGTGGATTACCATGAATTCCAATTTAGAAATTTCTAGGAATACTTCTGAAAAGGACTTCTATACAAAATTTCTGTTTCCTTGTAAAAATGGAATTATTTCATTTTATAATAACTATGTTTCATAAATGTCAAGCACATTGAACCATTTAAATCTGTTAAAACTTATTGTTTCTTTTTCTGACTTACATAAAAATATTTTTGCATGCATCTCTAATGTAATAAAAAATATTTCCTTCTTACTATTATTATAGAAAATACTATTCAGAAATAGTGGTAATTTAATTGATCACTGCTAGGGCTAAATGCTTCTCAGGTATAGAACCTAGCAAATTGCCAGTGATATCCACACAGTAAGGTTTAATTTTTTTCAAGATATTAGAATAGGTAATATATATGTTAATTTGTACTTTTTCTCATAATTTTAATTCTTTTCAAATATTAGTCAAATCAAACTCAATTTCATTTCAGACCTCCAGAAAACATGTGGTCAAAAGAGTTGTGCAAATCCACTAGCCCCTTTGCCATCTTCACTGAGATTTAAAAAGCTGTTAGCAGAAGTTGTGTGTGAAGCCTCCATTGGGCATATCTAATATGTTTTCTTCTGAAAGGCCCATTAATCTCTGATGCATGATGGGAAATGGTCTTAGTAGAAGAATGCTCCTGAACTCTTGTTACCAGAGATTCTAACACATTGCTGACTCATTTCATTTCTTATCTTGGTCAAGAGAAAGCATGTGTTATGACATTGTGTGAGTGTCCTAATCCAAGATCATTCCACTATCTTTTCTCCTAAAATAGTATTTTTTAAGTGCATATCTTTTTTTTTGTTTTACCATTGCCATTGTTCTTATTTGCCACTTCTCAGAGTGCATACCTGAGAATGATTTATTCATTTTGGTGGGTTCAGTGTGTTGTGTCCATGTTAAGAATCTTTCTGATTCTCAGTGGGGGTGGCAAGAAGGGAAGGGGAACGAATGTTGGTTTGAAAATGATATGAACCATGAGAGAATGCTCTTTCTGACACTCCTCTATTTCATGCAACCCATCCTTATAGTCTACAAAATGTATAATCTAACAAGCATGTTTTTAAGACATAAAAGTTTCCTTTCATCAACATGCTGCTGTCTTTCTCACTGCTGCTGATATATGTCTCTGATCAATAGTCAATTCAAACATATTTGTAGAACGTTCTACTATATGACTAACACATTACTATGCAATGTGATATGTTTACGTAAGTATAGAAATGGTATTTTTGGTATTTTTCATCTGGTTGACTATTTTTTTCTTATATCTTGATTTTTTAGTATTACTGTCTCCGTTCCTTAGTGTCCCTCTGTTTTGCTTAATCAGAAAACAAAGTTATGAGTTAAGATAATAATTCAACATTGTTTAGCTTACAAAATGAAGAGAAATTTTTAAAGCGGGGCCATCTTTAGAGAAATGTAACTTTGCATTTCAACTACAAAATCAACATAGAAAAGTAAAACATTGGAGTATTTGAGTTCCAACATGAGATCATTTAACTTCATAGCTTGAACTTCTTTATCTGTAAAAATGAATTCTCAGAACTGACCTATCTGATTTTGGTTTGTGACACTTGGAAGAAATAAGTTTTCAATAATGTATTTGCTGTAAGTATACTTGCTATCATTTCAAAATACAATTATATATAAATCTCCAAAGCTCGAGGTTTTTATTTTTTTTTTTAATTTTTATTTACTTATTGTTTAAATAGCCTTCACGCCCAGAGTGGAGCCCAGTGTAGGCTTCAACTCATGATCCTGAGATCAAGACCTGAGCAGAGATTGAAAGTTATATGCATAATCGACTGAACCACTCAGGTGCCCCCAATGTTTGAGGTTTTTGAATATTTTTAATATATATCAAAAATTACAATGTAAATAAATAGATATGTAGATTTGGAAAAAAAAAAAAAAAAACATTTGACCTAACCTCAGCTTTGTAAGATAGTACTGTATAAAAATTGTTATCCGTATACAATAAGCAAAATACTATTGGAAATATGAAGTAGGATCATGTTTTAAAACTTTTTAAAGTTCATTTACTTATTTTGAGAGAGACAGAGACAGTGTGAGTGGGGGAGGGACAGAGAGAAAGAGGGAGAGAGAGAGAGAGAGAGAGAGAGAGAGAGAGAGAGAGAGAGAAAATCCCAAGCAGGCTCTGCAGCACCGTCAGTGCAGAGTCCAATGTGGGGCTTGAACTCACGACACCACAAGATCATGATCTGAGAGGAAACCAAGAGTAGGATGCCGAACCGAATGAGCCACCCAGGCACCCTGAAGTAGGATCATTTTCGATGATTCTTTGGAAATAGGATATGAATACTCAATTGTGTTTTTATGAAAAAATAAATTTTTTCATGAAAAGAAAAAGGGCTGTTGGAGTTTTCACCAAAAGTGAAGATACTATCATAATTCTTAATAGGATGAATGCATTTTTGATGATAATTTTGTCTTGTGGAATTTTTAGAACATCTAGCTAATTGAGAAAAATTTAATTGTAAATATTAAGAATGCCAATCTATTTTTTTTCTGTAATATTTGCTTAAATGACTATTGTGAGAAAGTCTTCAATAGTAAAGTTGAAATCAGGTACCAACTTACATATGCCAAGTTAAATACTACTGTCAGAATCTGAGTTGATGAAATCTATCATCAAGTGCTGCATAATAATCTCTCAAGTGCCACTTCTAACCATCATGAACATGTTCAGTATCTAGCAATACAATCTTTCATATTGTAAGCATTTACGTGGTTTTGTTGGCTTAAATCATTTCTCCAATTTAGAGATATAGGAAATTAAGTTACAAATTTATGGATTATATAATTTTTAGTTTATATATAACAAATTATAATTTAAAATAAAAATTATAGGGGCTCCTGGGTGGCTCAGTCAGTTAAACATCTGACTTCGGCTCAGGTCATGATCTCACAGTTCATGAGGTCAAACACCGATTCAAGTGAGTACCACCTCTCTCTCTCTCTCTCTCTCTCTCTCTCTCTCTGCCCCTCATGGGATTCTGCCCCTGTCTCCCTCTGTCTCTGCCCTGTGCTCACTCGCACCCTCTCGAAAGGAAGGAAGGAAGGAAGGAAGGAAGGAAGGAAGGAAGGAAGGAAGAAAGAAAGAAAGAAAGAAAGAAAGAAAGAAAGAAAGAAAGAAAAAGGAAGGAAGGAAAAAAGGAAGAAAGGAAGAAAGGAAGAAAGGAAGAAAGGAGGAAAGGGAAAGAAAGGGAAACAAAGAAAGAAAATACAAATTTTATTTACAAGTAACTTTATAGTATTAGTTTGTTATGCCACTTTAAATACATTAACTATATGGAAATATTAATTTATAATAAATATATAAACTATATATTATAAAAGATAAAGAAAAATGTTGTTTGATATCATTTCAGAAATGATATTTTTAAACCCAAATTAAGACATGTTATGTGGCAAATGTAAGTATAGTTATGGAGACACAATGACAAGCTTTTGAAATAAAGACTGGCCCAGGATATCCATTTTTCTAGGATTGAGGCTTTTGTTCTCAGAAGATCAGTAGCATGGGGGCACTGGGTGGCTCAGTTGGTTGGGCGTCTGACGTCAGCTCAGGTCATGATCTCAGCTCAGGTCATGATCTCATGGTCTGTGAGTTCGAGCCCGGCATCCGGCTCTGTGCTGACAGCTCAGAGCCTGGAGCCTGCTTCAGCTTCTGTGTTTCCCTGGCTCTCTGCCCCTTCCCTGCTCGGGCTCTGTCTCTCTCTGTCTCAAAAAGAAATAAAAACATTTTTGAAAATTGTAAAAAAAAAAAAAAAAAAAAGAAGAACAGTAACATGGACGGGAAGAAAACTGGCAGTCTTCAGGCAAATATGGCACACAGAAACGGTTTGGCTGATAGAGTGACTTTTTTCCCTTCGTTTTCTTCTCTTTTTTTATTTGAATGTTTTTTAGCACAGCATGAATTCTCCACTTTGCCATGGGCCCCACCCCTCTCTACTTAACCTTTTAAGCCTTGACCCTGGATGTACTCTAGAGGGAGGCCGGTATGCACATAGTAGTGCTAAGTTTTCCCGGAGACCCAGCTGTGCCAGGGAAGGAAATGAGATGCATGTTTCTTAGTGGGAAGGTAGTTATCACTTTAGTGGTCAACCATAGTTATCTCTCAATTAAGCACATACTTGTACCAGCCTCTTGTTAG